AGCCATGATAAAATCTGTCTATTCCTCAGGCCTGCACGGATCTGATTTCTCATCACAAGCAGCTGACTGTAGGTCTTCCCCCTGAGCCCAGGGAAAGAGTCATCACAGTGTAAGTCATTATTCACAGGAACTGGAGTGACTCACATTAAGGCTCTGCTAATAAACATACCAAACAAACCAACTCTTTCTCTTCTCTATTCCCTTTCAGTCCTCTTCCTCCTGAGGAGTTAAACGATCTCATCTATGAAGCCAGTGGTCAGGACATCAGTATAGCTGTTCTCACACAGGTAACTCTTAAACCCTCTGGACTGCCTCATTAATTATTCAAACACTTCCCTTACAGCTGTGTGTTTGTCATATAGGAAATCATGGTCTATCTAGCAATGTACGTGCGGTCGCAGCCCGCTCTGTTTGGGGACATGCTCCGGCTCAGGATAGGACTCATCATGCAGGTGATGGCCACGGAGCTGGCTCGCAGCCTGCACTGCTCCGGTAGGAAAACACAGGAACTAATATTTTCACATACATAAACTAAACTGCACAGCGAAACATTTAAAATGTGTATCATCTTTTTAGGGGAAGAGGCGTCTGAGAGTTTGATGAGCCTGAGTCCTTTTGGTATGAAGAGCCTGCTGCATCACATCCTCAGTGGCAAAGAGTTTGGGGTGGAGAGAAGCGGTGAGTTTTTCTGCTTCTTTCACAGTATATGTGAGGGCCGCTTTTACTGGCCAATTCTTCTAGAGGTCTAGAAATAGGCTATAGAAGAAGTAATACATTTGTTTGTTTGTTTGTTTGTTATCTGTTTTTAACAGTGCGCCCAATCCAGTCAACAGCCACTAGTCCTTCCATCTCCATCCATGAACTTGGTCACACTGGAGCCACCAAGACTGAACGCACAGGAATACACAAACTGAAGAGGGAGATAAAACAGGTGGGAAGCACAAACATGATCATAAAAAATTGCATAGCCATCCTTAACAATAATAATGTATCTATCAATCTATCTCAGAATAGTTTAACAGTGTTCTTACTTTGGTTGCAGCTGGATGACTCTCGGCCTATCAGTGTGCGTTGGGTTTGATAATATTTAGCATGTTTCTAACGTCAGTCTTAAGAAAACAAACCGCCGTTTAACCCTGCTCATACGCCCTCCATATCTGGAACGACTCACACCTCATCACATATCAGAAGGAAAACATGCTTAAACCCTTTAACCCTTTTAGACATCTCATTACCTCATCCAATCCAGACCTTCTATAAGCTTCTCTTTGGAAGCCCGCACTCGTCTATCATTACTTCATAGAGACTCAGCATTTAGTGGCATCATTTGTTAGTGGAATGGGCTTTCTTGTGATCTGTCATTGTTTCCGATGAATTGAATTTCACTCTACAGATGAAACATCTCTGTGCAGTATGAGAACCATGTGAATCATCTCAAACTGTTCTCTATCATCTCATCCATATCCATGTGTAGATCTTCAGCGGCGGTCATTCCTTGAGTAGCAATGTCACTTCTCCTCGCTCCACGGTAAACCATTCCACCTCATCTGCTTACAAATACTGTATAAACAAGACATGTTTGTCCTTCCTAGGGTTGCCGTAGTTATAATATATAGACACACTGAGCAAACTAATCTGAAAAGCATTTTTTATTCATATGTTGTTATATCTCCGGTTGACGATTAAAAAAGAAACATTTAGGGATAAGGCTGCTGTTATTCTAGCTTTTTATTATTTTGAAAAAGACACCTTTGCACCTAAAGCAGGAATTACAACCCTGATATGTCTTGGACAATCTTTCATGGAGGCATACGCAACATTAGAACATTACATTCAATATATAGTTTCTTTTGTAAGTGTAGAGTTTGTATTGTTATTTACACTATAAAGCCCAATAGCACCAGCACCAGCCTGTTTTACCAAGTTTGATAGAGCATGATATCAATATGCATGAATAATTGCAGGTATAGGGTTAAACATTTGTGAAGCGAGAAGTCCATTAAAGACGTTTAAACAGTATACTCCTGTTCTCTCACGACAGCGCTGCAGCAGCCCCTCCACCCCCAGTGGCATCCTGTCCCCGGTGGGCGCCGGCCCGGGTGACGGACAGCTGCACTGGGAGGAGAGGCAGGGCCAGTGGCTGAGGAGGCGCAGGTTGGATGGAGCCATCAACAGAGTACCGTCGGGTTTCTACCAGAAGGTGTGGAAGATCCTGCAGAAGTGCCACGGCCTGTCCATCGATGGATATGTCTTGCCCTCCTCGACCACGAGAGAGGTAGCATTTCACAGACAATAGCTGTTTTAGGACTCTCCGTGTGTGTTTCTGTGTTTAACGTTTTTAAATCCTGTGCAGATGACAGAGGGAGAGATCAAGTTTGCGGTGCAGGTGGAGTCTGTCCTGAACCACGTCCCTCAGCCAGAGTACCGGCAGCTGCTGGTGGAGACCATGATGGTTCTGGGCCTGGTGGCCGACGTGGACGTGAACAGCATCGGTGGCATTATTCACGTGGACCGCATCCTGCATCTGGCCAATGACCTCTTCCTCAATGACCAGGTTATTATAATTTGTTCTTACATTTTGTGCATAAAAGGTTAAACTATGTTGTTTTCATATGGAGATTTCTTGAGTTTCATATCATATTAAACTGAATATGTTTGGCTTTTTGACTGGAAAGACATTTAAAGACAACACTTTTGAGGAACTTTAATAGATATGTTTCACAATTTCTTATTTCTTGGTTGCAGTCATCCTTTTTTATGTTTTGTGGCTTTACTGTTTTCTACCTCTGCATCCCCAGAAGTCCCACAGTGCCAGTGATTATTTCCTTGAGAAAGACCCAGCTACCGGAATCTGCAACTTTTTCTACGACAGCGCCCCCAGTGGCAACTTCGGCACCATGACCTACCTGTCCAAGGCAACCATCACTTATCTCCAGGACTTCCTGCCAGGCTCCAGCTGCCTGATGCAGTGAACAGACTGAACACCTGGAGAGACAAGCTTCATCGTAAAGAATCCTCTGGCCCGAGGCAGCAAAGCTTCTCGTTATCAGCTTATACATTTCCTGTGGTGCTTGTGAGTATTTACTCTTCAATTCACTCGCCTTGGCAGCTGATTTCAAACCACTACATAGGAGTATATTTTTCCTTTTTTAGCAACTGGTCTCTGAATTTATTTATTTATTAAATGTGCAGCTTGAGTGTGTGTTTGCTGGACTTTCAATCATGCATTTTATGTATTTAATTGCAAAATTATAAGCACATGTATATGCTGTTGGTGTTGTGTGTGAGTATATTATTGTATGAACAGTTATTTGCCCTGTAATTATCTGTTATAATTATACTGAGCCTGGATGTTTATAACAGAAAATAGTTTGATTTGAAAACATTTTTTCTTTATAGCAATCATTTCTATTTTTCATCCTTAGTACTTTATTGTTTTAAGTATTTAGAAGTCTAATAATGTATTGTGATTCTGCAGTTGATAATCCTCAATATCCCATCAAATACTAAAATAATATATCAATCATGGAACATTTATTATCCTTGATTTATTTCTTCCTCCACAAATTAATAATACATTTGTGCATATGACTTAACATTAGTCTTACCTCTGATAGCATGCAGGCTCTTTATACTTTAGTGTTGAGGATAATAAAACTAAAATGGTGTGGTATGTTGTCAACATTAAGCCGTATGGGAACGAGAATAATAGTTTTCCTTGAATGGCGGCAATGTTTTTTGTCTTTTTGGATGTGTTGTTTGTTTTGTACAATGAATGAAGACTAATCCGTCTGTCTGCATATGAATGACACACCAGGGTTTTGTCACTACATTGCAAGTAAACATTTAGCATGTACCTCGACATATTCATGGTGTGCTCATTTATGTACAGTTATTATAAATATGTAGGGTAAAAGTCTGCCTGAGCAGAGGAACATATAAGTGTTCTTTATGTATACAATGTGTATAATATGATTTGTACATAAAGAGCGACATGAAAGTAAAGCCAGATTTGGGTAAGGAACAAGAGAGGGTATGTTGAATAAGGTCTCAGTAAGTGTGAAAAGCAGAGGAAAGACAAAAAGTTGCAAACAACTTTTGTTCCAGTGCTTTGAATTGAAAAGAAACGGCAGCAAACAGTTGAGTATGACCTATTTGGATGCTGACCTAGTGCTGAAATATTACAATTAATTTAAAACAATAACAAATATAAATAGAATATTATAAAAAAATATATATATAACATTATATTTTACTATGTTATCAGATCTCCTTTTTACCCGTTTTATTATTTTAACAATGCACTGTCTACTCATTTCCATTATTACGATATGTTTATGTTCATGCAATAATAAAATAATTTGACTAACAATGGTGGTTCATTTATCTATTTACTGTGGCGTGTGAAAATACATTTTCTACAATGACAATGTGAATTATAAAAAAAATATTATATTTTTTAGTAAATCCCGCTGTGACCAAACGTCAATCACTGTGGGCCCTAGCAAGTTATCTGTATGATCATTAAAATACTAGGAAACGTTTGACTTTCCGGTACCACTTTACAATAAGACTACCCTTTAATAAAGTGTTTACAACCTAATTATAAACCCTTTATGAATCCTTTATAAGGGCAGTTTTATTGTAAAGTGGTACCGACTTTCCTTTAAGGATTATGTAGAAAGCGCTAGTGTGAGAAATTAGTAGGGTGTCATTTTTCACGTTGAATTTCCATTGGCAAATCTGTTAACTTCTTCAGAGATAGATTGTAAAGTTGAAAGGCACAGCATCAGCATCTTTGGGGCCAGGGCTTAATTAGTCATTAAATTAAGTATTTTACATCTTATGTAGAAGACAAAAAACTGTGATTATGGTTAATATATTTTTATTAATTCCCCAAATATATAAACAATACAAAACAATGCAAATAAAACATTGAAATTGATCAAATAATTAAATTATGTATTTTATGAATTAATCTGAAAATACAGTTAAAATAAATAAATAGATAAAACAACTCATGTTATTGTTTATTATTTAACCATTCACTTGGTTTTTGGGCTGTGAAGACCATAAAACCCAGTTAGAGGATGATGTACACCGTCAGTAAAAATAGTAGTGATACTTATTTATGTGTGTCTTCACATTGGAAGATATAAAGATGGACAAGAAACAGTATAGCCTCCTGCTCAGCCTGCACTGTTTGCTGTCGTCCTTGGTACACATTTCTTCCAGCTGTAGGGGGAGAGGCGGTGGGTGGCGGGGCAGGCACATTTATAGACACCTTTCTGGTTCACACACAGGTGAGAACAGCCTCCATTTTTCCGACTGCACTCATTAATGTCTGGAAGTTAGGGAGAGAAATTCAAATGTTCACACAGCACGATTTCAGTGAATATATCTACACATAAACCACATTATAACAAAGTCAGTCATTATGAGTATGCATTAACGCACTGACCTTTGCAGCGCCGCCCATCTTGGTGCAGTGTGTATCCTCGGGGGCAGATGCAGCGGTGAGAGCCTGGCAGGTTAATGCACTGCCACTCACACATTTCCTCCTGGCACTCATTCACATCTGTGTGGACACAGAGAAATTCATTAATTATTTATTTGCTGAAATAAATGGTCATACATGGTATGACTTCAGCTTTTATGTTTTCCTACCTACACACTCCTCCCTAAGAGCTTTTGTAGTTTGGTTATCAGATGTTGTCGGTTGCTTCCTGTATCCAGATGGACACTCAGGGATGCAGCTGTGTCCGTCTCCGGCTAAGATGTGCCCGTACAAGCAGGAACATCGGTATGATCCTGGGGTATTGTGACACTGCTCCGTGCACGGCTCGAGCCCCTGATTATCAGCACACTCATCAATATCTGGATAAGAAAAGAAAAAGGAAACCAAGCTTAAAGGTCACATGTCATGCTTTTCCGGTTATTACCCGTCCCCTTGTGTGTTATGTAGCTTTTTATGCATGTGAACGGTCTGCAGAGTCACAAACCAAAACGCCATTGTAACACATAATCACTGATGTTCCGCTGTAACGGTGGTGGACTCATCAGAACAGAGTGGGCGAGCTGACCAATCAGAGAGAGCACAGAGGGCTCATAGGGAGGGAGGGGGGGGCAGGAGCTTCAACAAGCCATTTAGTACAGAGAGCGAATACACATGCTATACATGCTGTATGAGAAACCAATGTGAGTTTGGAAAATTGCACAATATAAATCTATTCTAGTATACCTCAACAATGGAATTATGGTCAGTAGAAATGGCCATGACATGGGACGTTTAAGTTTACACCTTTTGTATTTTATTTTACTGTCATACTATCAAGAGTGAAAGGTACTGGGAAAAAGTTGGATTGATAGAAAAACAATTTGTTTTTGGCAGAAATTCTTGATGCTGCTTTTGTTGTATTAAGTACCGGTAGATACAATTAAGTTTTTATAAGGACGGATTAGAAAACATTAGAATAATGTGTTTTTTGGGATGAAGAAGGTAAAACCTATTTGGAATAAAGTTTCTCTGGAGTTTAAAATTTGAGTTTGTTGTGAGAAATATCAAATAAGACTAAAAGTCAAGAAGACAGTGTCACATGAGCAATTATTTACATTAATTGATTTTCCTGAAAAACAAAACAATAGTTTCAGATATGAGTTACTATCTACAGTATAGCTATCTAATTGTTATGGTTTTATAACAATGAACTATCAAAAAAGTTAGTTCAATAGCACAATTCGTACTAAGGTAGAGGTCAAATGAACATGTGGATATGTTTAAGTTTTGAAGAATAGGAACACCCTTCATGCTTGTTTACTCAAATTCAGGTTTTCTACATGTTACCTTGGCAGTGGCTGTGGGCAGTCTGCAGGCTGTATCCAGAGGGACACTGGCAGTGGAAGCTCCCGGGAGTGTTAACACAACCAAACACACAGCCAGTTACAGCTGCAGGCAGCATGCACTCATCCACATCTGGAAAGATGGAGAATGATGTAGAAAGCACTTTGTTCATGAACATAAATGAATAAATACACACATACCCGTGCAGGAGGTCTGGTCATCAGCTGATTGATAACCGTCATCACAGCTGCACTTAAAGGATCCAAATGTGTTGATGCATCTCTGCCGACACCGGTACTGCCCCTCCACACACTCATCTAAATCTACACACATGCAAACAATAATTATTGCATACATAGAGAACACATTTCTGTCACTGGACACTGATTTAATAAAAGACAAATGCATGTGTTGATCTGACAAAAACACAGAGTCCGTGCTGCACTGAGATGAAAGAAACAAGCAGCAGATGAAAGGTGGTCACTCTGAAACAAGCTGGAATCTGAAACCTCATTGATGTGCCTCCATGTTTGCTTGCTGTTTCTGACTGTAATGAGCAAACCATAACACAGATGTTTTCTGACTTCCTGCTCTTTAGAAAAAGGAAACAAGGATGTGCAGAAAGGAGTCAGAGAGCTTAGATATCAGCTCTGCACTTATTTTCCTGCCATCAAGGAAAGAACCATTTCCCCAACCTGACATTTTTCCATACACCTAAGAGGTCTTTTCTGCAAAAATTAAAGAGGTACTTATAATGTAAACTTACTCATGTAAAAGTAACAATATTGCCCTGTTAAGATACTCTGTTAAAGTACATTTCCTACATTTGAAGGTTTCACTAAAAGTAAAAGTGCTGTATTAAAGTGCTGCTTGTTGGCGAGGATAGTCCCTTTCAGAGAGTTATTTTAGCATTTTATTGGAATATTATCAATAAAGCTTGAACACATAAGCAGCATTTTAATTGTATACCTGGTGAAAGAAAAAGCCAATTTAATTACTTTTTATATTTTTAGATCTATACCTCAATATCACCTTTATATATAATCATTAAGGATTACGTTATGTTTGTAAAATCTTAATAAAAACAAATAAAATAAATAATTTTATAATGTAAAGTGTCCCATAAATTCACAAAAGCTGAAATGATTCAGTGTGTCAGATAAATGTAGGAGAGTAAAAAGTACTGTTTATAGAAGCAAGCAATGAAACTCAAGCAAATAAATAGAACCTCAACATTATTTTTAAAGTACAGTATTTGACAAACAATTATTACTTGATGCGTCTCACTATAGAAGACTATATAGAGTCTAGACCAATTCTGGAGGAAAAAAATGACCCCTTTTAAAAATAAATGCGGTTTTTTTAACTTTCTGTCAGACAGGAATGTTTATGGCCCTTATTTTACTTGCAGTGGAATTTCCAGGCTGAAACTAAACTATAATCAGTCCAACCACAATGTCTGGACAGGACTATCTGTCCGAGAGCACACTGATAATAACACTGTTCAAAAATAATATCAACACCATGATGGCTCTCTCAAATGACAGGCTGTCAGAGAACAGGCACGCGTAACAAAATATAAAGTCAATGTCAGCCTTTAAGTGCTGAAGGGTGACCGTGCTGCCATGAATTTCACGGCTCACTTGTGAGGCATGAAACATCCAACACATAAAACATGTGAAGGAGATTCCCAGTTGTGCTGTAACACGCCTCAGTGCACGCTGTGTTGTTATTAGGAAGAGCAGGGCGTCCACAGAGGATTCAGGAAGAATGTTACAAGAAAAAAAGAAAAAGATGAATCTGCTCACCTCGACATGTTCTCCCGTCCTCCACCAGAGTGAATCCTGCTTTGCAGTGGCACTGAGTTATGGTGTGGGTCTGGTTGAAGCTCTGGTTGAGGTGCTGGGAGAGAGAGCACAGCTGCGAACAGCCTCCGTTGTTTACTGAACATGGTGTCAGCTCTGCAGACAAACAGGGAAGATGGCTCAACTCAAGGGGAAAAATTAAAGTGCATGGATCGTTTCAACATTTCCAATAAGAGACATTTATTTAAGAATTTGTATGAGTGCAGAATAAATCAGAGTCAAATTGAAAACATCATAGGAAGTGAAACTTTAAAAGGGGACACTAAGAATGTTTATTCTAAGTTATTTTTGCGGCACCTACAATCCACTGATAATAACACTTAAAATATAATTAAAATAATGCAGGAAAACCTCCTTTTACCAACAATAAAAGTTTCAAAGATGAAAAATACTACTATTGGGAAGTGTACTGTCTATGCAGTACCTTGCACCTTCCCATCAGCACATCTTTCCTTTCCCATGTCAGCATTTTCTAATAAATCAAAGTACTTTTGAAGCAGCGACTCCACCTACCCAGACAAACAGGTGTGGTGCCGCTCCAGACGCCCCCCCGCTGGCAGTAGCTGTGTATGTCTCCATGAGCCAGCGTATAACCAGGATAGCAGGCATACTGGATGTACTGTTTGTATTCTGTGGGACCTGGATTCTCCGCATTATGTAAATAGAAGGTCCCATGAGCGGGCACAGGTGGGTGCGTGCACACAGGTTGTCTGCTGAGAGTCAGAGACAGCGGAGGGGGTGTAGAGGTGGTGTTGTGGTATTCAGAACCATTAGATCTGGACTCAGTGGGGCTGGAAGTGTTTGAAGAAACATAAGTTTTAATATTGGACTGGGTGGGGTTGAGATGAAAGGGTGATAAGGAAGGGGAAGGCGATGAAGCTCTGGTAGATGTTAAATGAACAGATACAGTTGGTAAAGTCTCTGTGGGATCCACCTTTCCTCCAGAAGGCTGAGACGAAGGAGGATACTGGAAACTAGTTTCAACCTGCTGGTCTTTATCAGTTTGTAAGGAGCTTGTTACAACTTCAGAGGGAGACACATCATCCCAGTATGTGACAGGTTCTCTGGATGAGAACTCTGTTTCACTGCTGGGCACTGGAAAAGAAGATTTTGTGTGTTGGAGCGGGGTAAACATCACAGTATTCGTGACAGCAGTGAGAGCTTGTGTAAGGGCTGTTGAAAGTAATGGTGGTGGTGAGGGTGTTGATTGTTCTGGTCTAGATGGGATAATGGAGCCATTTCTCCCAATTCCTGTTTCTGCCACTTGAGATTTGTTTGCCTCTTGATGATTTGTCTCAACACTATCTTCAGATTTAAAATCGTGACCATTCTGCTGCAAGTGGACTTTTGGGTGCGTCACTTTAATCCTCTCACTGCTGGACCTTTGAGGCGGAGCGTGAGACAAACTTAATTTTAGGTTTGATTCTTTGGAGGCAGTATTAGCGAGGGTGTCGTAGTGGGATTGTTGTTGAGTCTTCAGAACTACGGCAGCCTGCAGGTTCCGCAGTGTGTTTGGTTTTTGCACACTGACACCTGAAGACAAGCCCATCAAGTCTAACTCTAACAGGGAAAAGAGGAAACAATAGTGTAATGAATTTCTATCAACACTAATTTACTTTATTGGTAACAATCTTGTCATCTAACTTTCTGCTTAAAAGTAAATTAGCAGATTTTCAAAAATGTCAAACTGTTGATTTTGCTTTTGTTATGCTCACCTTTGCATACCGGCTTTGTGCTATTCCAGATGTGGCCCTTACAGTATAACATAGAGGGCCCCTGTAGTCGAAAGCCACTATGACAGCTGAACACCGTCCAGGAGCCATCCTCATTCATGCTGCTTATCCCGTGTGCCTGGGGCCCTGGGTTAGTGCAGCCGGAGCCTGGAAGAGGGGGAAAACATCATGAAAAGCGATTCACAGTTTGAGACTGAACAGGGAACTTTATTGCCTTGGTGGTCAACTCTGTACTTCACTGTAATACAATCAATAAATAGTCTAAACAAAAGACAAAGGAGTTATGGTGTTCTCTTAATGCATCTCCAGACAAATACAGAAATCCTAAAATCAACCACGATCAAGTGACGCTCCTTACCGACACACACCGGGGTGTCCCTGGACCAGATCCCAGACACACAGCTGTTGGTTTTGTATCCATGGAGCTTGTAGCCAGGGCGACAGCGAAAGATCACCAGCAGTCCTCCGTAACGGAAAAACGTCAGCCCATTCTCCAGGTGTCTAAAACTGCTGCATCCCTCCACTCCACGCGCTGTGAGACATTTTCACAGTGAATGTGTGTAAAACATTGCTTACTCTAAACAAAACACAAGTGTTAGAATTATTTTTGAAGAAGTACCTGCGGTGTAGATGCAGAGCAGAGCGACCAGTGCTGCCAGGAGCCCCATCTGAAGTCAGCTGGGATGTGAGGCTAAAGAGAAGTACTTGGATGGTGAAAGTTGGAAGTGTGTTATGAGAGGTTGAAGATTAAGGGGAGGGGAGATGTGGTCTGGGATGACTACAGGATGGGCAGACTGGAGGAAGAAAGTGAGGAGGGAGGGGTAAGATAGTGCACACCCAAAACACTCTGACAGATGGATAGGTGACAGGGGAAATGCTATTTGAACCTGCTTCAGTAGCAACACCTTTACTTCTTATAAAGTGACATTATGCTTGAGTCAGACACTCAAACAATCAGTAAAAACATCTATTCCCCCTCCCCTTTTTTTTCTGTAGCCTCTTGAAACTAAGAAGTGTGTGCATGTGCCTTAAGAGTGTGTGTGTGTGTGTGTGTGTGTGTGTGTGTGTGTGTGTGTGTTCTGCACACTTGTTGAGTAAAATCTGAACCCCTCATTTTCTCTGACAGGATGCCTGGGCCTGTTTTACAGCTCTCACCGTGTGGTAATTACAGTGGGCGGGATGTGAAGACTAGATACACACACACACACACACACAACACACACACACACACACACACACACACACACACACACACACACACACACACACACTAAAACCCAGAGTCCAAATACATACACAAGGTACAACTATTAGTTCAAAAAAAGTAATTTTATTCTCTCTTGGTTAACAACTGAACATGCACTTCCCGACACCCTATAGCGGGATTGTCTCTATTGTTCATACTGTTGAAGCCGTCAGGCATCAATACATGTAATACTACAGAGCGTGGCAGCACACTGGTACTCCTGCTGTACACCTGTTTCTCACAAGTCTGCAAAGGCTGTCAGAGCTGTACTAAATTAAACTATACTTAAAAAGCTAATTGTAAATGTTCTTTGGATGAAAGTGTTATATAAGTGAAGATCAAAATACCATAATCATTCTAAATACTGTTACATTTCCATCCATCTAAAGTGTGTCCAGCTATTTCATGTCAAAACAATACAAAGTCAGCTGGTGGCACTAGATTAAAAGAGAATACATCCCCATTAGTAATTAAGCAGCATTGTTATAAAACCATGAATGAATGTTCTGAAAACGTTTGCCTGCTGCAAGATGAATGTCAGAGGAAGTCTTAGAAACATATCGTCTGGGAAACATAAATGTCATTCAAGGAAATCCTTCAAATTATGGTTGAAATATTTCAATTTTAAATCAAAAAGGCGGATGGAAGGATCCTAAACAACGACTCCTACGACTGACAGAATGCACTAATAAGTAAGGTACATCACCAAATAACAGCCATTCTAGTTTTCAAATTGTGTATTTTTCATTCAACAACTGAATAAATACTTAATAATTCAATCTTTGCCACACCCCCTCCTTCCCTCCTGCTGTTCCATGCAAGACTAGTGTATTATTCAGATTCCCTCCTTCATGAATACTTGTCTCCATCCATTTTTTCGTTGAGTTGCTGATCCTTATTTTCCAATTTGTGTACCACTCTGAAGGCCTCTAAGAACTCAGTGAAGTCTATACTGCCGTCTTTGTTGAAGTCGATACTTCGGGCGAGGTCATCGATGGCTCTGTCGTCGATGTCGACCCCCAGGTGTGCGCTGAAGAGGCGCCAGGTGTGACGAAACTCCTCGATGGAGATCAGACCTGACCAACACACGTACTCACATAAACTAAACTGTGTGGAAAGTTATTGACAAATAATTTTTAAAGAGTTTCAACACATTTTACCTGAATGGTCTTTGTCTATAATGTTGAATATTATCTCAATGTCTGTCCTGTATCTGAAAAGGGTCTCAGCCATGTTTGGTGTCACCTAAAAGAAGAAAAGAGGAAAAGAAAACAGGAGACTACTAAACAACCACTACCTGCTGTGGGTACATTTCAACTATAATCCTTAAAGTAGGGAAGAACGGTAAAAGCATTGCATTGAAGTTTCAGTTTAAATGATCAGGACTACAGCAATTCATAATTTGGTAGCTGTTTGATGAAAAACCTGAACTCTTACATTTGATTTGTATTAAATGATGTGAAAAAACTATTTTGTTTTGTAATACTTTAAACTATCTAGCATTTAAAAAAGTTCCTGAAATCTACAGGCATCAAATTAACCCAGTGAAGACAAAGTCAAAAAATGTATCTCGGAAATGTATAAAGGTATAAACTTAAAATACAACATTCCCAAAATACCCTTTAAGGACCCATTTACTTCTCTTACCTGAGGCAGAGGAATCCCTGATTCCATGTCCTCAAAGCAGGATATGTACTCCACACTGCCATCTGGTGCCAGACGGGCTAAGTGAGGACGAAGTGTCCTCCAGGGCAGGTCCAGCCTCAGGACAGACTCCAACACCTGAGCCCAATCACTGACTGATACATTACCTGAGAAAACAGATGTAACTATTTCATATAACAACTCTACATGTCATCCTGGGTAAACAGGTGTTTATTAGTGAGGCAAACAGAGTTACCGGTGTTTTTGTGGTCGTACTGCTGCAGGCCTGAAAGCAGCTCAGAGCGGTGAGAGAACAGCTTCTCCTTCAGGGCCTTGAGAGCGGAGCCTTCAGCAACTCGTACTCTGCAGACAAACACACAAAAAAATGACAGATAATGGCTGCAAAACATGTGGATCTATTATGGGATGTTTTGGGATATTTAACAGACACGTTTAGAAGAATGCTCCAATGGAGACATTGAAACAGGCTTATAAATGAACTATTCTATTGAATTTACCATCCTATTTGTTTTTGTTTGAATTAACTTATCAATTATTTGACTTTTTGTTTTAGTACTGTTGAGTTTTGGGTTATCCGCCCCATTTTTCGAGCTCAGTTGTACCTCTGTGTGAGGGTGAGTTTGCGTGTTGTGCGGCTGACTTGGTACTGATAGAAGCGGGGAACCAGTTCTCGGCCCACTTTGATGTAGGCACCACGGTTGCTCCCCTCCTCATAGTAGTTTGACGCTGAGAAGATGGTGATGACCTGTACAACAAAAATGCACACATTTACTTCTCAAGACTCAAATATTTTTTGGACAATCTGAATTATGTTTTGCCTCTCCCTTCCATCTACCTTTCCACCATGACAGAGCTCATATCCTTCCTGTTTGCACTCATGGGATCGGATGAGCAGCTGGAGTCCGTGTCGGGTCAGCAGTCTCTGGGTGACGTCCGGACCAAAGTAGCAGCCTCCTCCTCTGAATATGTTGGGACTGCAGCCTTCTTGAGTTTTAGGGTCACTCCACAAAATATCCACTATCTGCAGGAGAGTGAAAAACAGATGACAAGTGCAGAATAGGACACAGAACACAGTAGAGCAGAATTGAGCAATATTAAAGGTCACCTATTAAGCAAAATCCACTTTTTCATGTCCTTTATACATAAACATGTGTCCCCTCTGTGTAAAGAGATTCTCTGAGTTTCAGGAAAAAAGATTTGCTCACTTTTTGTCCTGATCCATTTATATGTTACCCAGGTTACAGGAGCGGTCACCGGAAAAAAAAAAAGCCGTACTGCAGCGGACAGGCAGACAAGCGGCGGAGAAAATGGAGAAGCGGTTGTACTAAGACCTTACACTTGTCCAGTTCTCGGATGAGGTCACCCTTTGATGGTACTTTCCGCAGGCGGACCTAATATGACGGCAAAAAGTACTTACCCGCTCCATAATAATCCAGGAGCTCTATACATGCCATATGCCTATAGTCTAGAGACTTCAACAAAACGAGGCTTGTATGAGCAATTGGTCTAGCAGGCGCAGTAGACCTCCGTAGGATTATCGGGGAGACAACACGTCGAGGACAAAAGTTTTCACGACTAAGAGACAAGAAAAGAAGAAAACTACCTCTTATTCCTCGGCGGAGGGGTCCCGGGAGACTCTATAAACCGAATTTTCTTGCTGTTTATCGGGCCGGCGCAAGGGTCGATCAGTCATCTTCGACGACCCTCAGGGGCGTCGGAACGATAGCGGGGACTTCGGTCAGGGGTTGAGGCCCTGAAACGGCCGCCCGATAGCCCACCGTCATATGCGGATGGGCCGGTCACTTCAACAAACGCCCTCGGGACGGGTCGATTGGGTTCCGCGTCTTCGTCTCGTCTTCGACTGCGCTAGACCATGAGCATCAAGTACTCTTGTGACTTTCTCAGAGAGCTACGGTGGAAAGACACCGCTTTTCGTGACGCCCACACGATACGCGGATAACCACGGAGATCCTCCTCTAAAGTCCACGATTCACCCCCCCCCCAGGGCCCCGGCCGAATGCAACCGAACCGGAATAACCGATTACCACATGTGTCAGGTTTTTTAGGAATACTGTAGTATTTTCAACCGGTTCATGATTAGGCCGAGTAAACGTCTCGGGGG